ACTATTCGGTGTAGAGGTAGATGAAAGTTGGGTAGGTTGCGTATGTTGGTGTACAGATGACGACGGCTGGGTGATGACGGTAGTAGAGGAGTCGTGAAGAGCCTTTATTTCCTTCAGAAGCATTTCTCTTTGTTCATCTGATAGTGAATTAACTGACATGTTATCTGCTAATCTATAAATGATCTCGCCTTTTTTTTTATACATCAACACTGAAAGACCAGCCAATTTCAGTGTCGTAATTTGCTCGTCTTGGTTTCCTGAACCCTGTTGAGAGTTCAGAGGGTTTGTTCGACCGTTAACTTGGTTTTGAGTTTGCCCGTTGGATATTCCATTCAACCCTCGAGGGTTGGAGGGTGTATTCGCACCATGAGACTCGTGTTCTTCATCTTGGTAAGACATAACTTTTGCCATTATTATTGAAATACTATTTTAGCATAAAAATTTCAATGAAAAATATTAGGCGCCATCTAAAAGACTAGCTAGTATCTTCGCTGAGATTCAATGTACGATCCAATGATTTTTCGGAGAAAAACCATTTTCACGAATAAATCTGGCAATCATATGAAGGAAGTCACTTCCAGAGACTAAAGGTTTTAGGAACATTCATTCTTTCAGATCTCTCAGCGTAAATTAAATTTGGTGGCAAAAAAAATAAATAAATAAGTTTAAAACTAAAATGGCTTTGTCCATTTTTTAAAATAAAAAAAAAGGTTGGTTTAAGATCAGTCGTTTTTCAGGTGAAAAAATATGAAAAAATTACAGTAGAGAGCAGTAGGAGAAAGGTGGTAACTAAAGCTTAAATTGCATCGTAAACTTTTACACTCTACTTAAAACTAACACAACTTAACTTCCATGACAGAAAAAGAAATATAGATATAAAAAATATTATTTTATCGTACCTTACGTTCCAGTTGTTTTGGGAAAAAGTAATTTGAGGGATTTTTTGGAATACTACAGTGTCGTGTGAATGATCGATTTTCAATTAGCTATTAGATATGTTAGGTTGAGTTAAGCGTAAAACTCTAGGTCATGGGCACTTTTGGGGTGGTCCCTTATCTCCTCATCAGTCTCGAATTCTGTGAGCTGATTGGCTGTAACAAGATACAAACACACGTGACTATGCGCAATGTGTTAAGTTATTTATTAGAATTGAGCCACAATAAAGAATTTAGCAATGTACTCTAAAAGTAAACAGTGTCGCTATCAATCATATCTTTGTTATCTAGGACTTTTTTTTTTTTTTTTTTTAAACACGATTAAATCAACAACAAACGTTTCATGTAGTGTAATGTAATGTGACGTCTATGATTAAATAAGTGTCATGGATTATGACCATTGGTTAATAATACTATATTCGAAGAGATTTTTAATATGAGAAATTTAATTAAAACCCCGTAAACGTAAACATCTTGTTGGCAAGCCAACAAGATTCGTAAAACGTCACCTCGGACACTGACCCCTTTACCGATTTCATGATCC